ATTTTCATACCCATACTCTCACATTCTCATACCCATACTCTCAAACTGGTACCACTCACTGTTGTTTCACGTCAGGTGATTTGTTTTCTGCCTGTAGTCTATTGCTGGTGTCCAGGTGCTCCTTCAGCATCATTAGTATCTGCTCCTGAGCCAATAGATCTAACCTCATAATCTGTATCTCCTATAAAAAGAGAAATGAAAGTAGCTATACGTGTACCGTAAATGTTCAAATAAAGGCCAGGCTTGAATAAACACCTGGTACTAAGAATCTCCAAGTATAGATACGTATATTTTAGTCAATATAAGTACCACAATCTTTAGAATGTCCCAAATGGCCTAACTTGTTAAGCTGAGTGCATGGAACCTAGAGTTGCAGGTTCCAATCCCAGTTTTACTTTTTTTAATTATTTTTTTTTACGCAATTTTTTTGTCCTGGAAAGAAATAATGCTCGGGCTTTTATTCAAACATTTACGGTACATGTACACGTACATGTATATTAATGTGAGATAATGAATCATACATGTAAATTAATATAATATGTAAATAATGTACACATACATGTACATGTAGGGCAGTGATAAAGAAAATTAAGAGAAATAGGAATTTAATATGTGTGATAGCTACCTTGTAAATTGTACATGTACTATTACATGTAAGTGTAAATTAATTAATTAATAATATAATTTACATGCCAATTGAATTACATGTACATGTGTACATCCTTATAACTGACTTGTGTTATTTTCTCGTATTTGTTGGTCAGTTCATTGTAACGGTTTCCTTTCTCTCTTAAGTCCTTTTCCGTTGCTTTTAGCTGACGGACTATTTCATCAAGAGATACTGACTCAGACTAGGAGAGGAGGAGGAGGAGGAGTAAGGAAAGAGAAACAATAGCAGTAAACCCTTGACAATTACACAAGAACTTTCCAAACTTTCTTCAAAGAAAGTAAAATTGTACAGTAAACAATGTAATCAAAATATGCTACAGTTGGGAATTAATTTTGTGTCTGGCAATTTGAAGCAAAGAAATAGGGGGAAATCCAACCAATAATTGTTGCTGCTAAATCTAAATGTACATGTACATGATACTCTTCTCTCTCTCTCTCTCTCTCTCTCTCTCTCTCTCTCTCTCTCTCTCTCTCTCTCTCTCCCTCCCTCCCTCCCTCTCCCCCTCACTTTATCTCTTCCTTGTTCATATATATCAGTCTTAGACACTGGTTCCTTCAGTGTGATGTCCAGTTTTGAGCTGTACGGCTGAAGTGAGTGTGTCCTTTAGAACTCAACCAGTTCTACGACAGAACGGAACTCGAGTGGTTCGGCAAACCCAAAGTACCCATCACGAAACATGATACGTATTAACCTGTTTACCCCGTCTTTCCTGTTTAACGAGAAACAAATACATGTATATG